AGAAAGAGAGGGGGTTCTTGTGGCCACTCCCCTCTTGCCTCAAAGAGCCGTGCCACCGACTTGCACCGCCCCGTGTGGTGATTCCCTGCTGTGCTCTCAAATTTGGGCTCTCGTTCCCGCTACACGCACACTCCCTGACAGTCAATGACTAGACCATATCTGGGCTGCTCCTGCGTGCCTGGGCCTGTGCTGGGAGTTGGAGGGTGGGGAGGAGAGGAGAACAATAGGAGCAGGGCCCGGGGTCTGTCTTCAAGGGCTCACGTTGCTGTAGGAGAGGGTATGTTCACAGGTCTGGGTCCAGGTGGCACAGGCAGGGGAGAAACCCCAGCTTGGCGTCACAAGGCCAGAGTGCTAGTCCCAGCTCCCTCCTGCCAGGGGTCCTGCCAGGACAGGTGGAGCTGGCTTTCTCTTTTGCACACAGTCCTAATAGTGCTCATCCTTTCTACTTCTGGAAGTTGTTCTGAATCAACAACCGGATAATGACCATGTAAGTGCCATAATAAAATGCCACTAAGACGTAAGGGGCCTTTATCACTCTCGGGTAACAGTCACCTGGCTGCCAAGGCCATGCAAGATAAAGCAAGGAGAAACCCCGTCAGAGGCTGCGGTGCCCCAGAAAGGCTTCCTGTAGGAGGTGAGGCTCAGGCTGTGCCCAGAGAGGTGGGACATGCACGCCAGGCCTGGAGGCCCAGTGGTCTGAGTTAGGGGTGGCCTCAGGCAGGCTGTCTGGATGGCAACTAAGTGCATGGCATTAGTCACACATCACTTAATGACGGGGTTACATTCTGAGAAATGCACCATTAGGAGATTTCATCATTGTGTGAACATCATAGAGTGTATTTACACAAACTAGATGGTGTAGCCTACTACACACCTAGGCTATATGGTCCTCATCTTAGGGGACCACCGTTGTATATATGGTCTGTCGTTGACCAAAACGTCACTATATGGCACGTGACTGTAATGGGCTCACTGAGTTTAAAGCTGGGTGGGGCTGCCCAGTGTCAGTAGAATGGATAAATCCATGGGTCCATTCACACCATGGATCACCATGCAGAAGTGAAGGGGGAGTGTCCTCATTCACACTCAACCCCAAGGATGACACCCACAAACACAGTGTTCAGTGGAAGAAGCCAGATGTGCAAGATACATACCGTACAATTTCCTTTATAGGAGGATCCAAATGGGCGAAATTAATCCACGTTGTTAGAAGTCAGGATGGCATTCTCCTGGAGTGAGCAGTGGCTGGGAGGGGGGCATAAGAGGGGGTTTCTGGGTGCCAGCATGTTCTCTTTCTTGATTTGAACGCTGGTTACACAGATGTGTTCAGTGTGTGAAAATTCATTGAGGTGTATACTTACGATGTGTGCACTTTTCCGTAAGTGTATTATACTTGAATAAGAAATGTTTCACAAAGGAAAAAGATGTGGGCTGAGGCTGGATTAGCTGTGTCTGCCTCTCCTCTCCCTGGGGCACCTGACCAGGCCTAGTGGGGTACCCAGCTCTGTGACCCAGTGCCCAGCCCTGGGCCAGCATGCCGGGTGCTCAGCAAGAATCTGTGAGTCCTCAGCTCACATTGCTTGAGCAACTACTGAATACAGGGCTCTAGAATACGAGATGTACGTGGTACAACCTCTGCCCACCAGGGCTTGGGTGAAATGCCCCAAAGCAGCATGTCCCTGGACTGCACGCTTCCCAAAGGCAGGGACAGGTGTGCCCCAGGTGCGCCCAGCCCACTGCGTGACGCACAGCAGGCCCTCACCAAAGCATCAGCAAGGGGAAGACCCACGCTCAGAAAGGTGCTGACGTCAGAGGAGGAAGGGGGTGCCGGATGGAAGAGGTGGGTCCTAAGGCGGGCCCACCACAGCTTCCCTGTGGTTGTTGAGATTTTGACAAGCGGAAGAAAGAGGGGCCCGACTGAGCAAAGGTGTAGGAGGGGGACTCTCCAAGCAGATGCTGGGAGAAGTGCGTTTGGCAGGAGGGAAGGAGTGGTGGGAAGGAGTGGTGGGAAGGGAGGTGGAAAGAGAAGCCTGTGGGATGCTTGACGCGGCTCCGTGAGCAGCAGGAGCCACTGCGGGTGTGTGGGCAGCGGGCAGGGGCACAGAGCCGCATTTCAGGAAGAGTCATCTCGCGGCAGTGGGCAGGGGCACTGGAGGACAGAGGGCTGACCCGGATGAGATTAAAGAGTGAAAGTCGGCTGAGGAAAGGGAAGCAGGGTGTGCACTCCACGAAATATTTTCTGAAGATGGGAGAACTCAAGTGCGTAGATAGTTCAACAGTTCATGTAGATAGAAATTAAAGGCCAGCTGGGGACCTTGAATGCCATAGTAACATGCTTGGACTTGCCCATGCTTGGGCAGTAGGGAGCCACTGAAGGTTTAGAGGGAGGGTGTAAGATTATCCTTTTGTTCATTCATCCATTTATTCAACAATTGTTTAACTTATTTAAGCAAATTTTTATGGAGCACCTACTATGCCTTAGGCACTGTTTAGGTACTTAGGATACATCAACAAATGAAATAAAGATTCTTTCCTTCAAGAAATTTACATGCCAGCAGGAAGAGATGAGAGAAAACATAATAAACTAGTAAATTATATCGCATATTAGAAGGTGACACATGCTATAGAGAAATGAAAAAGCAGGGCCAGCCACCGTGGCCTAGTGATTAAGTTCAGCGCACTCCACTTTGGCAGCCCAGGTTTGGTTCCCAGGCGTGGACCTACACCACTCCTCTATCAATGGCTGTGCTGTGGCAGTGGCTCACATACAAAATAGAGGAAGATTGGCAACAGATGTTAGTTCAAGGCAAATCTTCCTCAGCAAAAAAAAAAAAAAGAAATGAAAAAGCAGAAAAGGGTAAGGAGAGTGGATCGGGAATGCTAGGGGGGGTGCAGGTGGCAATATTAAACAGGGTGGTCAGAGAAGGCCTCACTGAGAAAGGAAGACTTAAGGATGTCTGAGGGAGGAGTGCTTCAGGCAGAAGAAACAGCAGGTGCAAAGGCCCTGAGGCAGGAATGTGCCTGGTGTGTTCAGGAACAGCAAGGAGGCCATTGGCTGGAGTGTTGCAGGAGAGGCAGTGAGAGAAGTCACAGGTTGGTGGGAAGGGACACTGCGCAGGTCCTCATAGGCTCCTGTAGGGTATGTAAAGTGTAGATGTCCAGTCGGCAGTTGGATATAGAGTTGGGGATTTGGAGGGTGGTGGGCTGGAGAGAGAAACATGGGAGTCTTTGGCATGTAGATGAGACTGGATAAGATTGCCCAGGAGGTGAGTGCAGATGGAGAAGACTACAGAGAAAAGGAAAGGACTGAGCCCTGGGGCACTCCGGTGCCAAGGGGGGAACCAGGGAAGAGACTTAGAAGGAAAGACCAGGGAGGAAGGGGAAGACCAGGAGAGTGTAGGCAGTGAGTTGGGCCCCTAGGGCATGGAAGGGAAGAGACCAGAACCCCAGGGAAATTGCTTAGGAAGAGGTGAGGACCTGGGCTAGTATGATGGCTGAGGGGCCAGGTGAGAGGGACCATGTGGGAGATGTTATCATCCCATTGTTACCCTTGAAGAAAGCAAGGCCCAGAGAGATGTTCTCTGTTAATTCTCTGTTAATAACAGAGAATAATAACAGTAACAATAACAATAATAACAGAATATTATTTAACAAAAGCCTGGGTTGTTTCTACCTTGGAAGGATAAGGGAGCTCAAGTAGAGAGGACATAAGAGAGGTACAGCCTCACCTTTCAAAACAGGAGAAAATAGTGATGATCAAATAGTGGTAAATCAAAATAATAGTAAAAGCAAATTGCTTAAAAATATGGAAGTAGATACCAGAACAAAGTTAGCATATTTGAACATATTTATCCCCGGGAAATGGAATGAGGGGTGGGGAGTGATGAGGCAAGATACCATTTTCTTTTCCACAGTTCGACTTTTTAAATTATGTGCATGCATAACTTCGACAAAAGTAAAAATGATAATTCCTTAAATTGGCATTTAGAAGGTGAGGGGTTATATCCTCCGGTGTTAACAGTTGTCTCTAGGTGGATGGGATTGTGAATGGGTTTTTTTTTTTTTTTAACTTGTTTATATTTTCTGAGCTTTCTGTAAAGAATGTCTAATACTTTGCAAGAAGGGAAAAAAAGATTAGTTCATTGGTGACCTTGGAGGAAACAATCTCAGTAAAATATGCGTTTGAATGTATTCTCCCGTCTCTTTCTAAGAAAGTTCTTCAGTAGAGTTATATGCAAAGACAAGAGGGGATCTTGTCTGGACTCAGTGGTTCTCCAGGACCCCAGGCTGTCAGTGCTAGAACCAGGACCGTCTCACGCAGACCAGGATGGCTGGTTGCCCTAGGCTTTGTGATTTGCAAAGCTCTTTCCACATCCCCTTGCTTCTTTGAGCTCACACATACCCGGTGAGGTAGGTGGGGCAGGAGATGGCCTCTCCCACTTTAAAGGAGAGACAACTAAAGCGCAGAGAAGCTCCCTCTTCCTTTCCTGGGAGAAGCTTCGGGAGGAAGTGGGCTCTTCAACCATGTGCATATATTGCTTTGATAAAATAAAAAATTAATTAAAAAAAAAAAAAAGGGTGGAAATCTAGAATGCCAGAAAGCAGATCAGTGGTTGCCTGGGAGGGATGGGCTGCAGAAGGGAACCTGTGGGATCATGGAAATATTCTATATCTTTATTGTGGCTGTGGTTTTGCAAGTGTGTACAGTTGTCAAACTCATTGGATTGTGCACTTTAAATGGGTGCAGTTTATTGTACTTAAATTATACCTCAATTAGAGAGAGAGAGAGAATATGAGGAAATGGGGCAATCACGGCCTCCTCGGAAAGCTCACACTCGGAACGACACCTGCCCATTTGCACACTTAGCCTCCTTCATCTTCAAATACCTTCCGACCCCCATCACGCATGGAGCGTCTCTCTGGCCCAGCCAGCACGCTCTAGGGAGAGTCCAGTTCTGCAGGATGCTGCCACCGTGCTGAATTGTTCTCTCTGTCCCCAGGACTCCAATCTGTCCGTGCACACAGACAACCCGGACCTCACTCCCTGCTTCCAGAACTCCCTGCTGGCCTGGGTCCCCTGCATCTACCTGTGGGTCACCCTCCCCTGCTACCTGTTATACCTGCAGCACCACCATCAAGGCTACATCATCCTCTCCCCCCTCTCCAGGCTCAAGACGGTCAGGGGCTCGGGGCTCTCCTGCGGGTGGGCCTGGGACCTGCGGGGTCTCCTTATAGTGAAGCCCTTCCCCTACCCTCAGCGGCTGGACTGGGTCCCCCAGCCCCACCTGCCCTGCACTCTGGGCCATGGCAGCCTGCCAATTGGGTCTGCAGCCAAGAGATATTCCCTGCTTGGAGAAGTTCAAGCAAGTTCTTCAGCAACACTCTCCCCACCCTCGAGAAGCTTCCAGCCAGTGCCCAGCCAGCCCTCAGGGCCAGGCCCCGGGAGAGTCTGGTGGCTTCAGAAGCAAAGCCCCTCCCCACCGGGGCAGTCCCTACCTTTGGGGATGGAGACTCCAACATGTGCCCTGTCTGTAGGCCTTGGGCTTCCTGCTGTGGTGCGTCTCCTGGGCTGACCTCTTCTACTCCTTCCATGGCCTGGTCCACGGCTGGGCCCCTGCCCCCGTCTTCTTTGTCACCCCCTTGGTGGTGGGGGTCACCATGGTCAGTGTGGGGCCCAGGAAGCTTATGGGGGAGGGTCTCCAGTGGGTTGTGGGATTGTGACGGGGGAGCCACGGGCTCTGAGGAGAAGGCTGGACACCTAGGCAGTGGGAAGAGAATGGGGGTGACCCCAGAAACATCTGGCCACATGGGGTGTGGAGGAAGGGAGGCAGGTCCAGACATGTGTGTTCTGGCCGGGCCTCCCCTGTCCTCCCTGCACAGCTGCTGGCCACGCTGCTGATCCAGTACGAGCGGCTGCGGGGGGTGCAGTCCTCAGGGGTGCTCATCATCTTCTGGTTCCTGTGTGTGGTCTGTGGCGTCATCCCCTTCCGCTCCAAGATCCTTTCTGCCTTGGCCAAGGTAAGGGGGAAGAAGGGAACCTGTCAGGCATGTTCTCCCTCAGGGGTGACCTCAGGGCTCAAGGTCATTGCTGGGTCCCAGGCTCCGCCCCTCTGTCCCTCCCCACCTCCCAGGGCCCCTCTGCTGTTCAGTCTTCTGTGTTACTCCCTCCTGGCTGCATCTCTGCCAGGAAGCAGACTGGGGGCGGGGGTGAGGGCCAGTGCAACCCAGGGGATGGGGCAAGACGCAGCCATTGTTAGATGTCCGTGGGAGTGTGGCGGGCTCTTCTGTAGCCTCCACCGGCACCACCACCAAGTGCAGTGTCTGACAGGAGCATCCACCAGTGTCTGTGTGACGAACAGGTGTATGCAGACATGCATGGATTGTTCTGGCTTCCCTGGAAGTCCCATTATCTTGTCTTCCCTTTCTTCCCACCTTCCTCAGTTCCTGGCCTTCCTCTTCATCTTTGGTGGTGGGGGTGGGGGTGATGGGGTGGTGGTAGGAACACTGGGCATCAATCCAGCGTCTCCCCATTTCTCCATCTCAAGGGGAGGCAGTCAAGCGTGGCAGTAAGAGCACAGGCTTGGAATGATCCACTTATTCTGTGCGATCTTGGGCCAGTTGCTTTGCCTCTTGCAGCCTGGTTTCCTCCATTGCAAACCGGGTGTCATAAGGTTTCCCACCTGTAGAGAGAGGGCTGGACAAGGGGGTGTAGGTGAGGTGCTTGGCACGATGCGGGGCAAGTCCTCACTGAACAGCAGCCCCCTTATCGCCCCTCCCCTCTTGCAGAACCCTCTGGGAGGGGGAGCCGTGTGCCCCTCGGGTGCCACCTCCTACCCCAGAGGAACCCGACCTTCTGATGCCCCGCCCCGTCCTCCCCCAGGGCAAGATCTCAGACCCCTTTCGCTTCACCACCTTCTACATCCAGTTCGCCCTGGTGCTCTTTGCTCTCGTCCTGTCCTGCTTCAGGGAGAAGCCGCCGCTTTTCTCCCCAAAAGATGTCGACCCTGTGAGTTTTCCATGGAGGCCGGGTGGTAGTGGGAGTTCCACAGCCCACTCTTCAGTCCAGCCCTTAACGACATCGCCCATCCTTTCTGGTTCCTTCCATCTCCATGTCATCTCCACAGTGTGCTGACCGGGGCTTGGAGCAGGAAGGAACAGGCCCCTCCTCCCTCTACTCTGCCTTGAGAGGGTGGTGGGCACTCCTGATTTCTCCCATCCCACCCTCTCACCTTCTAGAACCCCTGCCCAGAGGCCAGCGCTGGCTTCCTCTCCCGCCTGTGTTTCTGGTGGTTCACAAAGTGAGTTGGCTCTTCCTCCAGCCTAGGCCTGAGGGAGGGGGAGATGGGGCTGAGAAGGAGGAGGGAGAGCCAGCTGGAAGTTCAGGGGCCTGAGAAGTTGGGCCTGGCTGGCCTCCCCACCCCAAACCCCTGCGCCTGCGGGCATGGGGCAGGCGAGGCTGGGGAAACCTATCTGTTTGGCCTAGGGGCTGAGCGCAGAGGCCGGACCTGGCCCAGCTCCTATCCCAGGCCACAGGCCAGCCCTGCCTCTGGCAGGCTGTGGGGACAGGCTCAGGGGCTGGAGGCAGACTGTAATTAGTTCCGAGCTCTCCTGTCTGGGATAAGCTTGCAGCTTGTCATTTCCTCGGCCGCCCCTCAGAGCAGCCTGAGCAAGATAATTGTGTCTGTGACCTGAGTAAGAGCTCATTAACCACGCTGCTCTGAGGAGGCACCTGGGCTGCAGCTCCATCCACCTGGCTTTGTCCTCGCCCAGGGCCTCAGCCAGCATGGATTTCATCACCAGGGCGCAGGGGTCAGTGGCACATCTGGAGAGGAGTGGGGGAAGGGGCTGAGACAGGAACTTGGGGTGGGAAGCAGTGACCTCCAGCCTGTTCACTGTGGGAATAAAAGAGACCCCTCCCTTGACCCCAGCACTTTAGGGAGACCCTCCTTTCTGGAGACCCTGGTCCCCAGCTCCAGGCTGCTAAATTCTGACCCCATGTGGGGCTGCCTGCTGCCCTAGGATGGCCATCCTCGGCTACCGGCGCCCCCTGGAGGATCAGGACCTCTGGTCCCTGAACAAGGAGGACCGCTCGGAGAAGGTGGTGGAGAGGCTGCTCAAGGCGTGGAACAAGCAGCAGAAGGGGGCAGCGCGGTGAGGCCCTCCCGGGTTCCCCTTGCCCCTCCACCCCAGCCCCTTCACGCACCCCAGCTCTCCTGCAGAGGGGGTCAATAGATCTGGGGTGATCACATGTCTGGGGGTGGGGAGAAGAGCAGGTGCAGGTGGTCCTGGGATGGGACACTCAGGCCTGGGTGGGACCAGCTCTCCCCAGTTCTACTGAGGCCGGAGAATGGCTGCCACTTTCGTAGCTCTTACTCTGTCCCAGGCACGGCCCTAAGTGTGTAGATTAACTCAATCAATCCCCAACAGCCCTACAGTGTAAGTTCTATTGTCCCTGTGTTACAGATGGGGACACTGAGGCACAGAGGTTTAATGACGTGCCCAAGGTCCCCTAGTTGGTAGTGGGCAGAGCTGGAATCCATCCCACACTTACCACTGCACTACCCTGCCTGACTCGAAGGGTAGATTCCAGGGACTTCCCTCAGGAGGAGAAGGGGCCGAGGGAAGATGGTTGAGGCTGGCCCCTCTTCTCAATCCTGCCTCCTCCTGTCTGGAGCAGGGACTAGAGGAGATGACCCTCCGGCTGAGGGACCTTCCCACTGGCAGCCTCCGGTCCAGGACCCAGAAACCTTTCTCTGGCCAACTGCCCAGCCGAGGGAGCTGGGGCTCCTTCCCTACCCGCTTCTGACCCCAGGACTGAACCCTCTTCCCTCCCACCCACAACTCGGGGCCCGGGGCTCAGTGCTTGTTCAGCCAGAGCCCCCGATTGCCAACAGGCTGTTGGAGGAGCCAGGGGCTTGGGCTTGATCTGCAGTGTCTTGGCTTTCGTGGCTTGGAGCCTCTGGGAAGACCTAAGGGCCCCCAGTCTGCCTACTGCACCCCCTTTCTGTCCTCCCTGCCACCCCACCCCTCCCTGCTCGGCTCCCCAGTGACTAGGCCGCTAGCCATCCCTGACCATGTGTCCCTTCCGTGTCAGCATGCTCCCTGGAGCCAGCCCTGGGGAGGCAGGGGGAGGCCCGGGGGCTGGGAATTGCTGTGTCCATAGACCTGTTCCTGGAGCAGCAGTTAGAGCACCCGTCATATGCCCTCTAGCACCTGAACACAGAGACCTCTAGGGAAGTAGCTGTGACGTCATGTTGTCCGCTCCCTCCCACTTCTGAGAGCCAAGAAAGCAGCTCCACACTCCTCCCCACTCCTCCCCAGCACTTGGCTTCCTGGGCGCAGGTGCCCGTTCCTACCCGCTGCTCCTTCCTCCCCGGGCCAGACACAAGCCTGAGGCGGCATCTGGGAAGACAGTCTCCAGTGAGGATGAAGTGCTGCTGGGGGCCCGGCCCAGGCCCCCGGAGCCCTCCTTCCTGAAGGCCCTGCTGGCCACCTTTGGGCCCAGCCTCCTCATCGGCACATGCTTCAAGCTGATCCAGGACCTGCTCGCCTTCGTCAATCCACAGCTGCTCAGGTCTCACCACACTCTTTCTTGCTGCAGCCCTTCCCTGGGCTGGGGGGCTGCCTGCCTGTCCCTCAGGTCTGAGCCCAGAGGAAGGGATAACATGGAGTGAAAAGAACCCCAGACCGGGAACTGAAGGGGCTGTCCCCACTCTCTGTGGGAGCTTTGGCAAGTGGCAATGCCTCTGCACCTCAGTTTCCCCATTCACATTCAGCTTCTATTTACCTGGTACATACTACGTGCCAGGCACCCGGGTGGATGTGTTAACAAACCTTCTCTCTTGAAATCCTGCCAATGATCCTACAGAGAGGTGCCCCTATTCCCATTTTACAAATGAAGAAGCTGGAAAAGTAAAAGCTAAAAAAAATGAGGAAGCAGAAACTCAGAGAGGTAAAGTGACTTGCCTGAGGGCACACAGCTGGTAAAGTTGGATTTGAGTCCAGGGCTCTGCTGCAATCCGTCATCCATCACGTGAAGAGCTTGGACTAGTAGGACTCTCAAATGAGGGAGTGGGGAGGAGAGCTGCCTGGCAGCTGAGCCCCCGATCCCTTGTGCCTCCATTCATGCATGCATTCATGCATTCATCCATGCGTTCATTCAAAAGACACCTATTGAGCCCCCAGGGTACCAGAATGGTGCTAGACAGTATGATACAGAAGTAAATAAGATATGATCTTAAAGTCTTGTGGGAGAAGCCAACGTGTAAATCCAGTACATTGCAGGCAGAGGTATACTCGGGTGTCTGGAAAACCCCAGGAGGGGCAGGGAAACCAGCAGGGTACGCTTGCCAGCTAAGGAGGTTATCAAGTTTGGAAGGACAAGCAGGCATTAGTTAACTAGGTGAGGAAGGAGGGGAAAGTGCAGCCCAGGCAAAGTCACAAAGACCTGAGGCAGCGTGACTCCAGAACTCCAGGTGTTTCTGAATGCTGGAGGAGAGGGTGACCAGAGGGAGGGGCAGAAAAACAAAGAGAGCGAGAGAGCTCAGGAAATCCTTGAAGGATTTGAGGGGCCGGCCCCGTGGCTTAGCAGTTAAGTGCGCGTGCTCCGCTACTGGCGGCCTGGGTTCAGACCCAGGGCGCGCACCGACGCACTGCTTCTCTGGCCGTGCTGAGGCCGCGTCCCACGTACAGCAACTAGAAGGATGTGCAACTACGACATACAACTATCTACTGGGGCTTTGGGGAGAAAAAGGGAAAAAAAGGATGAGGATTGGCAATAGATGTTAGCTCAGGGCCGGTCTTCCTCAGCAAAAAGAGGAGGATTGGCATGGATGTTAGCTCAGGGCCGGTCTTCCTCAGCAAAAAGAGGAGGATTGGCATGGATGTCAGCTCAGGGCTGATCTTCCTCACCAAAAAAAAAAAGATTTGAAGCCGGGCTGTGTGTAGGGAGTGCGGGGGAAGGGGCACCTGGTTTGCATTTTGGAAGAATCCCTCTGCCTGTAGTATGCGGGATGTAGGGCAGGTGGCCAGATGGAAGTGGGCAAACCAGGTCAGATGAGAGTCCCACCCAGGAATGAGATAGGAGTCAGGAGCTAATCAGAGATGAGTGTGTGCACCAGGAAGAGGGAGCAGTCAAGGGTGACCTGGGTTCTGGCCTGGGTGACTGGAGGGTGACAGATCTTTTGCTGAGAGGATGAAGTCAGCGGGAGAAGGGGGCTGGGCACGGTGATGAGTTGAGTCTCGGCCACGTGGGGCCCCCCCAGGGGAGATTCCTAGCTAGCTGGAGGTCACCTTTTCAGAGCCACCAGGTGGAAGCCCGGGGGCCCATATCTGTGGCTAAGCTTTCCCAGAGAGTTCATGTAGAGGCCACAGACAGGACTCTAGGGAATTCTGACAGGTGAGGGCTGAGCAGAAGACTGGGGCCAGAGCTGGGAAAAGAACAGAGAGCGTAGAGAGTGTTCAAGAGTGAGAGGTGGGGGGCGTGGCCTCCAGTGAAGCATGTTGGCCAGTAAGATAGAGCCTGAGGAAGGCACCATGGAGTTTGTCAGTGACTGCCAAGAATAGAGACTGAGACAGAGGGGAAGGGCTTGAGAGCAGGGGGTCTGCAGTGGAAACAGGCCATGGAGGTCTAGAAACTTCCATAAAGAAAAGTGTATTAGTTTCCCGTAGCTGCCGTAACAAATCACCACAAACTAGGTGGCTTAAAACAACAGAAATTTATTGTCTCACAGTTTTGGAGGGCAGAAGTCTGAAATCAAGGTGTCGCCGGGGCTGCTTCCTTCTAGAGGCTCTGAATGAGAATCTGTTCCATGCTTCCTAGCTTCTGGTAGTTGCTGGCAACCCATGGCATTCCTAAGCTTGTAGATGCATCACTCCAATCTCTGCCTCCATCTTCCCATGCTGTTTTCCACTGTGTGTGTGTTTGCATCTGTGTCTCTGTGTGCAAATTTCCCTCTCCTTTCTCTTGTAAAGACACCAATAACTGGATTAGGGCCCACTCTACTCCAATATGACCTCATCTTAATTTGATTACATCTGCAAAGACTCTATTGCTAAATAAGGTCAGATTTGCAGGTATGAGAGGTTAGGACTTGAACGTATCTTTCTGGGAGACAACTCAACCCACAGCAGGAGAGACCTGGCTTCAACTATGGCGGTAGCTCCGTGAGGTCGAGGGGAGGTCTGTCCCAACGTGGAAGAGACTTGGTCCTGTCAGTAGGTGAAGGTACAGGGTTGCCAGTGGAGATGAAGACACTGAAGCTGAGGAGAAAGGAGGGCACCGATGGAGCGTGTTCCTCAGGAGGCAGATGGGATCCAGGGCTCAGGGGGCAGGATCAGGTTCAGAAGATACATGGACATCTCCTCTCCTGGGGCTAGAGAAAAGGAAGAGGGGCAGTGTTTGGAGGGAAGCTTGAGGTTGGCAGGGAGTTCTCTGTGGGTGGTTGAATGGGAAAACTTAAGTGGGTGACTGCTGAGAGGGGTGGGCAGTGGGGACGGTCAGGAGGGAAGAGAAGAGAAGCGAAGAGGGCTGTGGGAGGAGGTGGATTAGGGCCGCACTGGGGGCTGCTGATGTCGGAGAGGGTGGATTTGCAGGGCAAGAGTCTGTGTAGTCATGCGGTGGGCCTTAGAGCCCTCAGGAGCCCAGGAGAAGGTGCGGGAAAGTCTAATCGATGGACACAGGGCATTTCTCCCTGCCTTGTGATCCAAGGAGGCAAGGAAGGCAGGCTGGTGAGGCTGGTGGTGATAGAAGGCGTGGACGGCGGGGACCACAGTAGATGAGAAAGGAGGTAAAGGCAGAAGGGAGCAAGGATGGAGGGTTGTGATCTTGAGGCAGCACTGAGCCGAGTCCCCTGGGCCTGGGCGGGTGGGGAGGGCCAGCGGGCCCCACCTGAGAGGTTTCAGAGGCGGGGGCAGAGAGGAGGCTGAGGGAGAAAGGGGAGGGCAGCAGTAGACGGAGCAGCGGAGCGACCCCTGCCCCCCTCATGCCTCTCTCCTCCTCTTGCAGCATCCTGATCAGATTTATTTCAAACCCCATGGCCCCCGCCTGGTGGGGCTTCCTGGTGGCTGGGCTGATGTTCGTGTGCTCCGTGATGCAGACTCTGATCCTACACCAGTATTGCCAGTGCATCTTTGTCATGGGGTTGAGGATTCGTACGGCAGTGGTAGGCGTCGTCTACAGGAAGGTCAGCTGGAGCAGGGTGTGGAGGGCTGGGGAGGTGGCCCAGGGGTGCTTTGGAGAGGCTCGCGGGTCCAGTCCACCACGCTGCTGTCCACCTGCAGGCTCTGATCATCACCAATTCAGTCAAACGTGAGTCCACTGTGGGAGAAATTGTCAACCTCATGTCAGTGGACGCCCAGCGCCTCATGGAAGTTGCCCCCTTCCTCAACCTGCTGTGGTCAGCACCCGTGCAGATCATCCTGGCAATCTACTTCCTCTGGCAGGTGACTCTTGAACCCCGACCTCTGTCCCCTTCTGCTGATCTTGACCTTGCTGAGAAGGGACAAGAGAGAGTTCTGGGTCAGCAGAGGGGCTGCATAACGGACACAAGAGCTTCCCTGGATATTAGGGTGGGGGACAGGACTGCAAGGATGCTTGTGTCTGCTACCCAGTCTTTCCAGCGTGTGCGATTATCCTTCTCGAAGAACCCAGGGGGGGAAAGAGGGACTTTGAGGCAGGGTGGGTGTGACTCTGGCTGTCATTGTCTGTCTGTATTTGCCTTCCTGTGTGTCTGGACCCCTTCTATGTCTTCCCGTTTGTCCCTATCTGTTGTCATTATCTGATGGCGGTTGCTTCTGCAAATGTTTTCGTCATTGGCTTCATCTGTATGTTTGCTTTTCGCTGTCTATCTGTTTGGCTGACCACCATCATTTGCTTCCTGCCCATCTCCACGTTTCAGGTCAATAGGCCTTTGTTTGTCTGTCGGGTTCTGTCTACATACTGTGGTTATCTATCCGTCTGTCTTAAATATCCATTATGTCTCCTCAGAACCTGGGGCCCTCCGTCCTGGCTGGAGTTGCTCTTATGGTCTTGCTGATCCCACTCAATGGAGCTTTGGCCATGAAGATTCGTACTTTCCAGGTGGGTGCTATCAGACCTGCCAGGTGCCTGGGGAAGGGCATTCACTAACCTGGGGCCTCCCAACTACCTGGCTTACTGAGTATGGATGACTACAAGCCCCTTTCTCAAACCTTAGCTCACTCTATCTTCACAAAAACCCTGAGGGGGTGTTAGAAACACTCTCATTTTGCAGCTGAGGAACCAAGGCCCAGAGAGATTATGGTAGTCCAGAATCAGGCAGAGCTGGGACTCAAACCTGCATCTTCTGGTCTAATGAGTATTTCTCCCACCACACTGTGCTGAGTGTAAATAGCCATTCATTCAGTCCTTTCTTTGCAAACATTTATTGAAGTCTTCAGTAGCTCCCCATTGCACATAGAAGAAATGACAAACTCCCTAGGACCACCCGCCAGACCCCTGCTCACCTTGCAAGCCCTTACCCCCTGGGGTACGGCCAAGTTTCATCCAGTCTGGCCTTCTATCTTTTCTCCAAAGCACCAAGCTCTGCGTGCCTCTGGGGCACCACACACACTGTTCCCTGGAATGCACTTCATCCCTTCCTTGTTTGCCCAACTCCTCTTCCTTCACCTCCCAGCATAAACTCTGATTTCCCAGTCCCCACTCCGTTATTCTCTCACAGAATCCTGTTGTTTCCCTTTGAGTATACATACTAATTCGTTAAGTATTTATCCAGGGAATTGTCTGCTTCCTATCTGCCTCCCCCATCAGACTGTCAGCTTCCTGGTGGCATGGGCCTTGTTTGAGTTGTTCATCATTATCTGCCCCACGTCTAGCACATAGTAGGCCCTCAGTAAATGGGGGTTGAATGGATAATTAATTTGGCGTGCCTCCCTCTGGGTTAGAGTCTGGGGGAACAAAGAGAAATAAGCGATCTACACCTTTGGGAGGCTCACAGTCTAACTGGGGAAGCACACATGCACAGGGATCGCCGTGGGAATGAAAGAAAAGGACAACAAGCCTTAGAAACCCAGGGAAGGGGCAGAGGATGCTGCCTGGGAGGGTCAGTGACAAGGCACTGAGATTGGAGCTGGATTTTGTCACACAGAGGAGGGGGGAGGCTCAGGAGGGGGGGAGGCCAGGCTGGCTGGCAGGGAGGAGGGAGGAAGAAGGGTGAACAGTCCAGACGCCTGCAGTGGAGGCGAGTACATGGAAGGTACCAGCCCCTGTGGGCAGAGGTCTGGGGAGGCGAGTGGGATGTGACACCACCACTCTTTCCACAGGTAAAGCAAATGAAATTCAAGGACTCGCGCACCAAGCTGATGAGTGAGATCCTGAGTGGCATCAAGGTGCTGAAGCTGTATGCCTGGGAGCCCAGCTTCCAGAAACAGGTGGAGGGCATCCGGCAGGACGAGCTCCGGCTGCTGCGCAAGGCCGCCTACTTCCACGCCGTATCTACCTTCATCTGGACCTGCACCCCCTTCCTGGTGAGGCTCTCCCACTGGGCCTGGCCCCCTGCCTCCCACTGGCCTGGCCAGCCCAGGCCTCTGGTCCCAGCAGACTCCACTCTGACACCCATCCTCCCCACTCCCCAGGTGACCCTGATCACCCTGGGGACATACGTGTCTGTGGATGTGAACAACGTGCTGGACGCTGAGAAGGCCTTTGTGACCATATCCCTGTTTAATATCTTAAAGATGCCCCTCAACATGCTGCCCCAGTTAATCAGCCTTATGGCCCAGGTAACCCCGGGGTAGGGCTGGGGTTCTGCTGGAATTAGGGCAAGTTGTTGGGGTCATTTAGGGTCAAGGGGTAATCCAAGAGAGTTACTGGAATGGGAGGGGGTGCCATTTGACATTAAGAAGAATTGTTCAAAGCTGAATGAGGTCATTAGAATTAGGGGTCATTTGAGGTCATGTGGGTCCCTGGAAACCTGAGTTCTGGAGACAGCCTCCTCTTACCAACCTGGATCCTGTCTTCGGCAGTGGAAGCCAGGGAAGACTCAGTCGTGGGAGGGGCCTCAGCACTGGTATCTGGGTCCTCAGGGGCCCCACCTCGCCCAGCAAGTTGGGGGCCAGCAAGGGTGGGAGGGAGTGGGGGCCTCCAGGGCTGACTCACACCCTCCTGCAGACCAGTGTGTCTCTGAAACGGATCCAGCATTTCCTGAGCCAAGATGAACTTGACCCCAAGTGTGTGGAAAGAAAGACCATCACCCCAGGTCCAGACACCCTCTACCTGGGCTGCCCTCTCCCCAGCTCCGGCTCCAGAAAACCCTCGGTTCCAAGCTTTAACCTTTTCTCTCGTGGCCCCCTTTACTTCTTCATCTTTTCACATCTGCTTCAACGCTATGCCCCACTGTCTCCCTCTTCAAAGCTCTCTGCTCTCCTCCTCTCCATGCCTCCCCAGGTATCCCCCTGTCTCTTTCCTTCCCTAGGGCTCCCCCCACCCGTGCCCAGAACTTCTTGCCCCTTCCCTTGCCCCCCAAGCTTCTCTGCCTTCTCCCCTTGGCCCTTCCCCCAGAGCTCCCCATACCTCTCTCCCCTTGCCCTCCCCCAGGGATCCCCTCCGCCTTGCCCAGGCTTCCCGCCCCCTCCTCCTCTTCCTCCCACCCTTCCCTGCCTGCTTCTCCATCCCCTGGGCCCCCTGACCCTGTACACTTTGGTCCTCCCAGGCCATGCCATCACCATACACAATGGCACCTTCACCTGGGCCCAGGACCTGCCCCCCATCCTGCACAGGTACCAGTTTTTCCCATCCCTTCTCAGCTATCTAAGTGGGCAAAGGTCAGAAGAATTGCAGAACCCCTGCCTCACCCCCTAGTCTTTGGCCTGGAAAGCAGGAAGAGCCTCAGCTTGCCAAGGTGGTGTCTGGAAGAGAGGGGGGTTTGGGTCTTTGGGTAGAAGGTTGGGGACCAAAAACCTGATTCCTGTCTCTGACTGGCTCCTGGGCTCCTTGCCCCCAGCTTAAACATCCAAGTGCCAAAAGGGGCACTGGTGGCCGTGGTGGGGCCCGTGGGCTGTGGGAAGTCCTCCCTGGTGTCTGCCCTGCTGGGAGAGATGGAGAAGCTGGAAGGCAAGGTGCATGTGAAGGTGAGAGCGGTGGGGACTCCTGGGAAGGGGAGCTGGGCCTGGCCTTGGGCAAACCCTGAGGTAAGCTCCTCCTGTGGCCAGGGCTCCGTGGCTTATGTGCCCCAGCAGGCATGGATCCAGAACTGCACTCTCCAGGAAAACGTGCTGTTTGGCCAAGCCCTGGACCCCAAGCGCTACCAACGGGCCCTGGAGGCCTGTGCCCTGCTAGCTGACCTGGAGGTGCTACCTGGCAGGGACCAGACGGAGATTGGAGAGAAGGTACAGGGTTCCCTCCCATCCCCTGGGGAGTTGGCACATACAGCTGCCTACCTCAGCCCAGCCGGGGTCCATGTGTTCGTTCATTCCTTCACACATTCATGTAATGTCATGCCCAGCTCTGTGCTAGGCACTGGGGAAACAGATCTGTCACTGGGGGAGGCTGGCTTTGCACCGGTAGGGACTGTAGAATGTCCTGGGGGCCAAGCTGAAGGCCTGTGTGGGATACAGGGAGGGCACTGAGGAGGGAGTCTGCATAAGGGAAAGTGTCACTTTTGAGCTGAATCTTAACAGCTGAGGAAGAGGAGCTCAACATTCTTCTAGTCATTCACTCATTCATCAGATTTTATTACGTACCTACTATATGCCAGGCAATATTATACAGTAGTGAATACACCAGACCAAAATCTCTGCCTTCATATAGCTTACATTCTAGTGGGGGAAAGAGATGATAAGCAAGATAAATAAGTGAAATATATAATATTTAGCTAAATGCTAAGGGGAAAGAACAGAATGGGGAAGGGATATAGGAATATGTGCGGGCCATATTGGTAGGGTGGCTTCTTACTGGGAATCGGAGACCTGAGCAAAGCAAGGGAGTGGGCCAGGTCTGGGGACATGGAGCCCTGTTTGAGGGAAGGGCATTCAAGGCAGAGAGAACAGTAAGTGCAAAGGCCCTGAGGTAGAAGTGTGATTAGGGCGTTCAAGGACCAGCAAGGAGGCCAGCATGACTGGAGTGGAGTGAGCAGGGGTGAGGAGGAGGAGATGAGGCCAGTGAGGCATCCAGGCAGCCAGGTTACATGGGGCCTTGCAGGACCCTATGATGACTATGGCTTTTACCGAGAGTGATGGAAAGCGTTTGAAGGTGTGAGCTGAGGAAGGGTGGCTAGACAGCCATTCCGGTGCAATTTGGTGTGACTGGAGGTTAGGGACAGGTGGGGAGGGTATGCAAGGCAGAGCCTCGAAGACCTTGGTTAAGATTTTGGCCTTTACCCTAAAAATTATGGGACATCAGTGAAAGTTTTTTAAATGAATTTATTTTTAATTGTTGTAAAATATACATAACATAAAATTTACCATCTTAACCATTTTTAAGTGTACAGGTCAGTAGTGTTAAGTACATTCACAAAACCAATCTCCAGAACTCTTTTCGTCTTGCACAACTGAAACTCTACATCTATTAAAAAATAATTCCCGGGCCGGCCCCGTGGCTTAGCGGTTAAGTGCGCGCGCTCCGCTACTGGCGGCCCAGGTTCGGATCCCGGGCGCACACCTACGCACCGCTTCTCCGGCCATGCTGAGGCCGCGTCCCACACACAGCAACTAGAAGGATGTGCAGCTATGACACACAACTCTCTACTGGGGCTTTGGCGGGGGGTAAAGGAGGAGGATTGGCAATAGATGTTAGCTCAGAGCCGGTCTTCCTCAGCAAAAAGAGGAGGATTAGCACGGATGTTAGCTCAGGGCTGATGTTCCTCACAAAAAAAAAAAAAAAGAAAAAAAAAGAATAATTCCCCATTCCCCTCTCCCCCCAGCCCCTGGCAACCACCATTCTACTTCCTATTTCTAAAAATTTGAGGGGCTGGCCAGGTGGTGTAAGCGGTTAAGTGTGCGCACTCCACTGCAGCAGCCCGGGGTTCGCCAGTTCAGATCCCGGGAACGCACCGACGCACTGCTTGTCAAGCCATGCTGTGGCGGCGTCCCATATAAAGTGGAGGAAGATGGGCACGGATGTTAGCCCAGGGCGAGTCTTCCTCAGCAAAAAAAAAAAGAGGAGGATTGGCAGATGTTAGCACGGCGCTGATCTCCTCACCAAAAAAAATAATAAAATTGATTATTCTAGGTACTTCATATAAGGAGAATCAGGCAGCATTGTCTTTTTGTAACTGGCTTATTTCACTTAGCATAATATCCTCCAGGTTCATCCAGGCTGTAGCATGTGTCAGAATGACTTTCCTCTTTTTTTTTTCCTTTTTTGTGAGGAAGATCAGCCCTGAGCTAACATCCATGCCAATCCGCCTCTTTTTTTGCTGAGGAAGAGCGGCTCTAAGCTAACATCGGTACCGATCTTCCTCCACTTTATATGGGACGCCGCCACAGCATGACCTGACAAGCAGTGCATCGGTGCGCACCCGAGATCTGAACCCGGGCTGCAGCAGCAGAGCGCACACACTTAACCACTATGCCACGGGGCCGGCCCCATCACTTTCCTCTTTAAGGCTGAATACTATTCCATTGTGTGTATAGACCATATTATGCTCATCCATTCACCTGTCAATGGACACTTGGGTTGCTTCCAGCTTTTGGTGATTGTGAAAAATGCTGCTTTGAACGTGGGTGTGCAAATATCTCTCAGAGTCCCTGCTTTCAATTCTTTTGAGTATATACTCAGAAATGGAATTGCTAGATCATATGGTAATTGTATTTTTTTTATTTTTTGAGGAACTGCCATACTGTTTTCCATAATGGCTGTACTATTTTACATTCCCACCAGCAATGCACCAGGGTTCCAACTTCTCCATGTCCTGGCCAACACTTGTTATTTTCTGTTTTTATTTTTGTTGTCATTCTAATGGATGTGAGGTGGTATTTCATTGGGGTTTTGGTTACATTTCCCTAATGATTAGTGATGTTGAGCATCTTTTCGTCTGCTTCTTGGCCATTTGTGTATCTTCTTTGGAGAATTGTCTATTCAAGTCCTTTGCCCATTTTTTAATCAAGTTTTGTTTTGTTGTTGAGTTGTGGGAGTTCTTTATATATACTGGATATTAACTCGTCATCAGATATGTGAGTTGCAAATATTTTCCTCTATAGTTTGCCTTTTCACTCTGTTCATTGTGTCCTTTGATGCACAGAAGTTTTTAATTTTGATGTGGTCTAATTTATCTATTTTTAATTTTGTTGCCTAGGCTTTTGGTGTCATATCCAAGAAATCATTGCCATAAAACTTGCCCCTCTGTTTTCTTCTAAGAGTTTCTTCTTTTGTTTTTTTGTCGTCATTTGTTTTTATCCTAAAGATTTCAGTGAGTATTACCTCAAAATGAAGACATTATCTTACATAATTATAGTGGGACTATCAAAATCAAGAAATTTCACATTGATACAATATTGTTATCTAATTCACTATCTGCATTCAAATGTCGTCAGGTGTCCCAGTAACATCTTTTTAAGCTATTTCCTTTCCTGGTCTAGGATCCAATTCAGGATCATGAGTTGCATTTAGTTGTCGTATTTCTTTATTCTCTATCAGTCTGGATAATTCCTCAGTCTTTGTCTTTCATGATCTTGACAATTTGAAGAGTATAGGCCAGTCATTTTCTAGAATGTCTCTCAATTTGAGCATGATTAGATTCAGAATTACAGTCATGCCCCGCATAACGATGTTTCTGTCGATGACGGACTGCACATATGACAGTGGCCCCATAAGATTAGTACCATACAGCCCAGGTGTGTAATAGGCTACACCGTCTAGGTTTGTGTAAGTACTGTAGTTCTAGGTTCTTCTGGCTGGGTCTAAGAATTAAATTGACATGAGATATAGAATAACAGGAGGAAAACAAAGAAAAGTTTAATAACATGTATACAAGGCAAAAACCCAGGAAAACTGAGTAACTCACCAAAATGGCTGAAGCCTTCACCTTAAATACCATCCTCAGCTAAAGACAAAAGATGTTGGGAGTGGGGAGAGTCAGGGACTTCAAAGGGAAGGAAGACAATTCACATGTAGGTGAAAAGGAGCAAACTTTGAAAAACAAGAGTTTGTTTGGCCACACAGAAACAGAAGAACACAGGGGGAGCCCAACAAACAGGCTTTTCTAGGTTCCTCCCTGTCTACCACCTAGTTCATGTTATGCTGAGGGGATAGCTGCTTCCTGAGACAGATTTTTTTTTAATCTGAATTCTTTTCAGCAGTTGCTTCCTGAGACAGATTTTTTTTTAATCTGAATTCTTTTCAGCAGTTAAGGGAGAAGTAACAAGAAAAACTTCCTGAGTCTTTTGCTTCTTAAAAATAATCAGCCTATGGGCCGGCCCCGTAGTTTAGCGGTTAAGTGCGCGCGCTCCGCTACTGGCGGCCCGGGTTCGGATCACGGGCGCGCACCCACACACCGCTTCTCCGGCCATGCTGAGGCCACGTCCCACATACAGCAACTAGAAGGATGACATACAACTATCTACTGGGGCTTTGGGGGAAAAATAAAAAAATAAAAAATTATTTTAAAAAAATAAAATAAAATAATCAGCCTATGGGGCTGGCCTGGTGGTGTAGTGGTTAAGTTCACGCACTCTACTTCGGGGGCCTGGGGTTTGCAGGTTCAGATCCCAGACACAGACCTATGCACCACTCATCAAACCATGCTGTGATGGCATCCCACATAGAAAATAGAGGAGGATGGGTATGGATGTTAGTTCAGGGCCAATCTTCCTCACCAAAAGAAAAAAAAAATCAACCTAAAATAATCCTCATGTTAAAGAGACACATTTTGGGATAGCAAATTTTGTTCCTCTTCAGTACACTCTATGATATTAGCACAACAACGAAATCACCTAACAATGCATTTCTCAAAACATGTCCCTGTCATTAAGTGCAGGGACACTTAATGATGCATGACTATATGCTTTTTTGGGAAACATACCAAAGAAATGATGTTGCGTCCTTCTTGGTGCATCATATCAGGAGGCACAAGATGTCAGTTCATGCCTTATTGACACTGTTAACTTTGATCACTTGACTGAGGTGGTGTCTTTCATTGATGATTTTATTTCGTAACTTTCATTGATGCTTCTTGCCTGAGTCAGTGTTTACTATGACTTTTGCCAAACAGTGATTTCCTAACTCCATTCCTTGTATAGTCATTAGTTAGCATTCTACTCTAAGAGAGAGGTTCTCCCTCCTTCCCCATTTTTTACTTATTCATTAATTTCTTTATATCAATATGTACTCAAGGATTCTGATTTAATTCAATGGGTTATAATCCATTACCATCATTATTTGTCCTGATGCTCAACTAGTCAGTGAAGGGTTTTAAGCAGGGACAGGAATTGCATTTTGAAAACTCACTCTGGCTGCATTGTGGAGGGGCCTGCGGGCACAGGAACCAGTGAGGAGCCGCTCCTGGTGGGTCTGGGGGAAGCGATGAGGGTTTGAGCCTGGCAGTGGGGATGGGAAACTTCTAGGTAGAAGTCCGAGGTTACAGGAACCCAGAGAAGACCTCCCTATCTACGACACAACTCCTTCTTCCCATCTCCCCTGGACCCGCACTGACTTTGCACACACAAACCTAATTTAGTGCCCAGTGCATAGTAGGCACTCAAGAAGGGCTGGTTGGTTAAATGCAGGCATGCTCGCATGCCTCAGTCACTACAGCTGCACGTCTGCCCCCTGCTTCTCCCCAGCAGCTCCAGCTCCCACCTCACACTTGCTCTCCTCAAGGGTCAGTTTCTCAGGGTACCCCAAAGAACTGGGCCCTGTTCAGAGGGAATGAGGAAAGATGGTGGTAGGAAAGCAGGCTGTACCTCTGGGGTCTGCCCTCTGGGCCCAGCCCTGCCACTATGTGCCTCAGTTTACCCATCATGGGTTAAAGGAGAGATCTAACCTCCCGTTTGGCACCTGAACAATCTCAGGGTCTATGAATTCTGGGATAGATGCTGGGTTTCAGTCCTTGCTTCTGCCCTCAATAGTTCAGGACCTTGGACAAAGTCATTAACACCTTGGGCTCTAATTTCTTTGTCTAGAAAGTGGGGCTAATGATATCTCCCCAGAAGGACTGACACGAGGACCAAAGGAGATCATTGTTAAGAAAGTCTTCTGCAAACTGTGTGGGCGATGGGAGATTAAAAGGTCTATGAAGGACCTTCTGGGGATTTCTAGCCTCCCAGAGTGTGAAGGTGGCAGGCAGGGAACCCTGCTGGGCAGGGTGGTGGAGCAGAGGGAGGAGGATGTCCTCGTCCACTCTGGGAGGACTCAGAGCCCCCTCCCCTTCCTCCGTGGCCTCAGAGCTTCGCAGGGCCGGGACCCAGCATATGACATGTGGATTCAGTGGTCTGCCTTGCTGAATGACAGTGGACAGGGCGCTGTCTCCCTTGTGCCTGTCTGAGTCCCTAACACTTCCCCTCCCTCCTCCATCCAGGGCATTAACCTGTCTGGGGGCCAGCGGCAGCGGGTCAGTATGGCCCGAGCTGTTTACAGCGCTGCCGACATTTTTTTGCTGGATGACCCACTGTCAGCCGTGGACTCCCATGTGGCCAAGCACATCTTTGACCAAGTCATCGGGCCAGAAGGTGTGCTGGCAGGCAAGGTGAGGCCTGCAGGAGGCTAAGGGGGCGAAGGTGAGATCTAGGACCCTGGGAGAGAACTGGTGGGAGGCCAAGGGGTTTGGGTGAGATCTGGAGGTATGGGAGGCCTGAGAAGCAGGAGAGTGGGTTGGGTGGGAGGGGAAACCCAGGAAAGGACACACTGCAGAGGCACCGAGCCGGCTGCCGAAAGCATGGGGTGAGCCACTGATGTGCCTGTCTGTGCACCCCGGCACACGGGCGCCTCTCACTCCGTGGCCCTGAGCCTGTGCGGCGGGTGGGGCGTGCTGAGGGCAGTGTGAGTGACAGCCTGCTGTCTTCTCCCCAGACACGGGTGCTGGTGACGCACAGCATCAGCTTCCTGCCCCAGACAGACTTCATCATCGTGCTGGCTGACGGGCGGGTGTCTGAGGTGGGCACCTACACAGCCCTGCTGCAGCGCAACGACTCCTTTGCCAACTTCCTCCGGAACTACGCACCTGATGAGGACGAGGAGCACCTGGAGGAGGACCGCAGGGCCGGTAGGCGCCCTCCCTGGCCCTCCGTATTCCCGTGCCCTCCCAGTGTCTCCTCTGTCTCGGGGTCTCTGAATGTCTCTGGACAGGCCCAGTGTTGTACGAGGGAGGTTCTGGAAACTTGGACCATCTGTGTGATAGTCAGACACCACCAAGAGGGAAAGTGAACTGGGTGCAGTCAGGTCCCTCCTCCTCCTCTTCCCTAACTGGGTGACCTGGGATCCACAGCTCAGGTCTCAGAGCCTCGATTTTCCCCAGTCTCAAAAGGGCTTATGGACCCAGCTTGTATGGCAAGGCTGTTTCAGATAAATTGCAAATATGTGAGTGCTGGGAAAAGTCATTTATTTATCAACAAATATTTATTGAGCAATTACTATATCCAGGCATTGAGAGCAGCAAACAATTAGAAAAATCCCTGTCCTCATGGAACGTATTGAAGCCCCTGGGCTCACGGGATCCTCCCTGTGGTCCAGTCCTGGCTCCCCATCCCCAGACTCTGGGCTGGCTCACAGCCCTTCTCCATGGTGTTCTTGCTGTATATACAGCTAACATGTCTTGAGCGTTGAGTAAGTGCCATGCCCCTCGCTAAGCACTTGACACACATTCTTTGCTTCAGTCCTCATAATGACAATGACATGATGAAGTAGGTACTATTCTCGTCTCCGTTTTACATGTCTGCCTAAAGTCATGCAGTGAGGAAGTGAGATTTAAGCTCAGCCAGTCTGACTCCAGAGCCCTAGCTCCTAACGTTTATGTTTGAGTCCCCTTCCTCATAGTCCCCGATGGGAAGTGTTTCTTCTTGTCTAACCTAAGTCTTGCTGCCCTTTTTTTGTGTGTGAGGAAGACTGGCCCTGAGCTAACATCTGTCGCCAATCCTCCTCTTTTTGCTGAGGAAGATTGGCCCTGAGCTAACATCCGTGCCCATCTTCCTCCATTTTTTATGTGGGATGCTGCCACAGCATGGCTTGATGAGTGGTGCATATGTCCACGCCCAGGATCGAACCCGTGAACCCGGGCCGCTGAAGCAGAGCGCACAAACTTAACCACTATGCCACCGGGCTGGCCCCTGCCCTTGTTTCTTTTCTAACACAAAACCGTCATTCATTTTTGTTGTTGTTCTTGCTGTCCTTCCAAACCTCTCATCTTCTCTCATGCTTGTCCATTCCGGCCTCGTCATTGGAGGGGGCATTCGGGGATACTAGGGGCTTGCAGGGAGCTGGCTGACCTCTGTCTCCTTCCTCTCACCCCGCTGCAGCCTTGGAGATTGTAGACGATGAGGAGGCGCTGCCGATTGAAGACACGCTCAGCAGTCACACAGACTTGGAGAATGAGCCAGTCATGTATGAGGTCCAGAAGCAGTTTATGAGGTGAGCTCCTGAGTGCTCTCAGCCCCCTGGGAGGCTGCATCAGGGCTCCCCAAGGTCTGCCAGGTGGGGTGCAGGTGGGCATATTCCCTGACACTCACACCCTGGGCCTCCGGCTGCAGCCTGAACCCTCCTCCTGGGGCTCTGTCCTGTGGGTGTGGTGGAGGCTTCCTCTCTGGGCCTGACCAGCTTTCTCTACAGACAGCTGAGTGCCATGTCCTCAGAAGGCGAGGGCCAGGGTCGGCCTGTGCCCCGGAGACGTGTGGGTCCAGCAGAAAAGGTTGTGCAGGCAGCAGAGGCAAAAGCGAGCGGGGCATTGGTCCAGGAGGAGAAGATGGAGACGGGCACCGTGAGTAGGGTGGACCAGGAGGGCTGGAGAGGGTGGGCAGGCCCCCAGCAGTCCTGGGCCTCACAGGAGTCCTCTGTCCCCGACCCCCATGGCTGTGCAGGTGAAGCTGAGTGTGTTCTGGGATTATGCCAAGGCCATGGGGCTCTGCACAACACTGGTCGTCTGTCTGCTGTACGCTGGTCAGAGTGCAGCTTCCATTGGGGCCAACGTGTGGCTCAGTGCCTGGACCAACGAGGCTATGGTGGAGGGTCGACAGAACAACACCTCCCTGAGGCTGGGTGTCTATGCCGCCTTGGGAATTCTGCAAGGTGAGCCTACAGAGATACCTGGAAGGGGCTCCAACAGCCCCTTCCTCACCTCTGGGCTCCTGGGTCCCCCAGCCATGCCCTCGCCTCTGAGTCTCCCTCCACCATCATAGCCATTGCCCCGCCCCAATGCCTCCTTAACCCACCCTAGCGGTCCCCCTGCCTCTGAGCCCACCTAGCCCACCCTGGCTATCCCCTATCTCAGAACCTGCCCCTGCCTGCCCGCCACCTGGCCCAGGTGAGTGAAAGTCCCTCTGCCTCCTCCAACAGGGCTCCTGGTGCTGCTGGCAGCCGTCACAATGGTGGTGGGCAGCGTCCAAGCCGGGCGCTTGCTTCACCAGGCGCTGCTACACAACAAGATGCGCTCGCCACAGTCCTTCTTCGACACGACGCCCTCAGGCCGTATCCTCAACCGCTTCTCCAAAGACATCTACGTCATCGACGAGGCTCTGTCCCCCACCATCCTCATGCTGCTGGGTTCCTTCTTCAACTCCCTCTCCATCCTCGTGGTCGTCATGACCAGCACACCGCTCTTCGCTGTGGTCATCCTGCCCCTGGCGGTCCTCTACATCTTGGTGCAGGTGCGCTGCCAGCGGGTGGGCTTGGCTCTCGTGTGGGCGGGGACCAGGGGTGGGATGTGAGGAGGCTGGACTTCAGTGTCACAGCTGGATTTGCTTAGGGACGGTAGACGTCAATTACTTAGCTCTTTGAAACTCCTTTTCCTCACCTGTAAAATAGAGAGACTCATGGAACCTACCTCATAGGGTTGTTGTTGGATAAAATGAAATCATTGCAAATTGTAGCTGGCCCTGGAACTCCGTATGCTGGCTGGGTTTTTTTTTGTTTTTTTGTTTTTTATTTTTTTATTGATGTTTTAATAGTTTATAACATTGTGAAATTTTGGGTTGTACATTTTTGTTTGTCCATCACCATATATATATCTCCCTTCACCCCTTGTGCCCACCCCCCACCCCCATTGCCCCTGGTAACCACAATACAGTTTCCTCCCCATGTGTTGGTTTATAGTCCACATATGAGTGAGATCATACAGTGTTTGTCTTTCTCTTTCTGGCTTATTTCACTTAACGTAATACGCTCCAGGCCCATCCATGTTGTTCAAGCAAATGGGACAATTTTGTCTGTTTTTATGGCTGAGTAGTATATATATACCACATCTTCTTGATCCAATCATCAGTCGAGGGACACTTAGGTTGCTTCTGCTTCTTGGCTATAGTGAATAATGCTGCAATGAACATAGGGGTGCATAAGCCTCTTTGAATTGTTGATTTCAGGTTCGTTGGATAGATTCCCAGTAATGGGATAGCTGGATCATAGAGGATCTCTATTTTCAGTTCTTTGAGGAATCTTCATACTGTTTTCCATAGAGGCTGCACCAGTTTGCATTCCCACCAGCTGTGTATGGGGGTTCCTGTTTCTCCACATCCTCTCCAACATTTGTTGTTTTTTTTCTTGGTGATTATAGCCATTCTAACAGGCATGAGGTGATATCTTAGTGTTGTTTTGATTTGCTTTGCATTTCCCTGATGATTAGTGATGTTGAACATCTTTTCATGTGCCTATTGGCCATCTGTATATCTTCTTTGGAGAATTGTCTGTTCATTTCCTCTGCCCATTTTTTGATCGGGTTGTTTGTTTTTTTGTTGTTCAATTGTGTGAGTTCTTTATATATTATGGAGATCAACCCCTTGTCAGATATATGTTTTGCAAATATTCTCTCCCTATGCTCGCTGTTTTTTAATAAAATATTAACAGTTTGAGCCACATTATCCTTCCCTTCTTTTTATACCTGTCTAAACATATATGTGGGTCTGGCCCCGTGGCTTAGCGGTTAAGTGAGCGTGCTCCACTACTGGTGGCCCGGGTTCAGATCCCAGGCACGCACCGACGCACCACTTCTCTGGCCATGCTGAAGCCGCGTCCCACATGCAGCAACTAGAAGGATGTGCAACTATGACATACAACTATCTACTGGGGCTTTGAGGGGGAAAAAAAAAGGAGGAGGATTGGCAATAGATGTTAGCTCAGAGCTGGTCTCCTTAGCAGAAAGAGGAGGATTAGCATGGATGTTAGCTCAGGGCTGATCTTCCTCACAAAAACTAAATAAATAAATAAACATATATATGTACGCAGGTTTTCATTGCCATTTGCGTGGAGTATCTTTTTCCATCCCTTCACTTTCAGTTTGTGAGTGTCTTTAGGTCTGAAGTGTGTCTCTTGTATGCAGCATATATATGGGTCTTGTTTTTTTATCCAGTCAGCCACCCTATGCCTTTTAATTGGAGCATTTAGTCCATTGACGTTTAAAGTAGCTATTGATAAGTATGTACTTACTGCCATTTTTTAACTTTTTTTTTTTTTCTCAGTGTTTTAGTAGTCCTTCTCTGTTCCTTTCTTCTTCTATACAGAATTGATGGTCACTTTAGTTTGACCTCTGTCTGAAAGCTGTACTCTTAACTCCCCTCCTCCCTCCTTTTATGTTTTTGATATCATATCTAACCTCTTTTTTGTGTATTTGTATCCATTACATTCTAATCATGGAAATAGATAATTTTTCCTATTTGTGGTCTTCTCTTTTCCCCTTAAATCAGTCCCTTTAACATTTCTTGTAGCACTGGTTTCTTGGTGACAAACTCCTTTAATTTTTGCTTATCTGGGAAAATTTTGATCTCTCCTTCCATTTTGAATGATAACCTTGCTGGGTAGAGTATTCTTGGCTGTAAGTTTTTTCCTTTTAGCACTTTAAATATATCATGCCATTCTCTTCTAGCCTTGTACGCAGGTTTTAACATGAATGAGTTGATAACATTCAGGTACAGCTAACTGTAAAAGGCATTTGCGTTGCTGAACCCGTCTTGCCAGGATAAATCAACTGATGCAGGTCGTCCACAAGGTGGCCAGAAGCTCAGCCCCTGTGGGCAGAGACCGTGGTCTGGGCTGTGCTCTGTGCTGGGACAGGGGACTCCCAGATACGTAACCTGTATGGCCCTGGCCATCTCGGGGCCCACAGGGCAGAAGATGGAAGCTGTAGGCAGAACCACGTTTTTGTGGAGCTGAAGTGAGGGTGGGGTGGGGAGAGGCTCTTGAAGAAAAAGAATACAAAATGATCTTATTTTTGCAAACTTTGCAAAATGTTGACTGTGTGAGAACATGGCTATGGCCCCTAGGTGGAGCTAGGCTTATTCACTGATTTAGGAGCCAGGCAAGATCAGTGCTGTAATCCAGGCCCCCACAGAGGGTGAGGGGGTCAGGGGCTGAGAGGGAATCAGGAAAGGCTTCATGGAGGAAGTGGCCTGGAAGACGGAGCAGAGATGAGCAGAGAGAATGGGGGAGAATGAGATCATGGAGCCACATCGGGACCCTAAGTCTTGTGTCCTTGGAGGTAGGGGGAGGGAGCAAGGTCTTATGGGGGAGTGGGGCTGTCTGGGAGGAGGCCTGGAGGGAAATGGACGGGTTCAGAGGGCATGCAGGACTGAGTCAGGCTTCCATAGTTCTGACCCCAAGCTCTTTCTCCATCCTCCGTCAGCGCTTCTATGCAGCCACATCACGGCAACTGAAGCGTCTGGAATCGGTCAGTCGCTCACCCATTTACTCCCACTTTTCGGAGACGGTAACTGGCACTAGCGTCATCCGGGCCTACGGCCGCAGCCAGGACTTCCAGGCCATCAATGACGCTAAGGTGGACAAGAACCAGAGGAGCTGCTACGTGGACATTGCCTCCAACCGGTCAGAAACCTGCGCCCCTTACCCCCTGCTCCTCCAGGAGTTCCCACCAGAGTCTCTGTGGTTCTGGGTCCTAGCCCCTCCTTCCCCTTAAACAGAAAAGTGCCCTCTCCCTGCACCTGCCCCACTTCCCCCTTGTCTGATCCCCACAGGTGGCTGGGGATCCACGTGGAGTTCACGGGGAACTGTATTGTGCTCTTTGCTGCACTCTTTGCTGTGATTGGGAGAAGCAGCCTGAGTCCGGGGCTGGTGGGCCTTTCTGTGTCCTACGCCCTACAGGTACGCAGGGCTCCGGGCCCCAGGGCAGGGCCACTGCTGGGGCGGAGGACACACAGGTGTCACAGACATCATGTGAGCACCTCACTCTGCCCAGTGTGGGGACCAGCCACAGATGCTACCCACCAGGACTGTGAGCTCCCAGTCCAGCATGGAGAGACACTCCCCGCCGCGGGGAATTATAATGCAGGGTGGGCAGGTCTTTGTGGGGGGAGGAACAAAATGTTGTAAGAACCCGGAGGAGATTCTCTACCTTGGGGTGTTGGAGAAATGATCTTGGAGCTTGGCCCCAAAAGACAAACTGAACTTGTCCTGCCTGTGCACAAGATCTAAAAGGTCCACCTGACAGAGGTCAGGACAGGGAATACCCCTCCTTTCACGTGCCGGTGGAGAAAGTACATGGAGAAGGTGACCGGAGCCTGGGCTGGAGGTGGGGCAGGTCATGCTGATAGCAGCCTGTGTCGTCAAAGGGGGAGATAATTGCCAATGGAACCTGTGTGAATCAGATCACATTTCTGATGCCTCACATGGCTCAAGTCTTGAATGCTTTGGTAAACAAAGGACAATCCAGACAGACCATTCATCTCAAACTTGAACGTGCATCTGTATCACACGGAGAGCTTGTTGACGTGGAGATTCTGACACAGTAGGCCTAGAATGGGGCTCAGGATTCTGCACGTCTGTCAAGACTCCTTGGTCTACAAAGTGTGGCCCAGGGACAAGTCACATCAACATCATCTGGAAGCTTGTTAGACAGGCAGAATCTCAGGTCCTACCACAGACCTGTGAAGCAGAAGCTGCATTTTAACAAGATTCTCTGGAGGTCTTTCTTATACATATTAAAGTTTGAGAATTACTGGGCTAGGTGGCCATTGGTTAAGTCTGCATTGCCACTGCCTAAGGTGCAGTTGTGATTAGAGCCCCAGGTGGCACCCCTATGGACTTGCCTAGCCCCACCAGGGTCGTAGATGGGATAGGAGCATAATCAAAGAGTCCAAACTCCTCCCAAAGCTGTTGCAGAGGGAGGGAGATCAGCCTACCCATGACCCAGTCTCTTTGGCCAGGTAACATTTGTTCTGAACTGGATGATACGAATGATGTCAGCCTTGGAGTCTAATATTGTGGCCGTGGAGAGAGTCAAGGAGTACTCCAAGACGGAGACGGAGGTGCGTACTGGGATGAGCCTGGGGCAGGAGGAGTCTGGAATAGCTGGGGAAGGGTGCTTGGTGGCCCGCCATCCCTATAGCCCAAGGCCAGCTGTTCTGGTGGCTCTTCGCCCATTCATTCAACCTTTACTGAGCATCAGCCAGAGGTTCCGTGCTAGAAAGTGTAGAGGATTCAGAGTTGAGCAAGGCAGGGTCTGCCCTCGAGCAGATTCTGAGTTAGTGGGAGAGGTCAGACACTGCAGGGCTCTACGGTGGATGACAAGAGCTCTGGGTGGTGCACCCAAAGAGGGCAGATAAGGGGGGACATTCAGCTCAGGTGAGCAGGGCAGGTAAGCGTTTTAGCCACAGACATCGGACTGGACGAAGGAGGAGTGGTGGGGCAGCATGCCCTTGTTGGGGAGAGGGAGTTGTCCTCTGCTGAGGGCTGCAGACTTTTCTCCACCCACTACCTCCTGTGGTTGCACCCCAGCCTTCTTCATGTCCCAAAGCTGCAGCCTCTCTGAGATCTCAATGTCAAGCTTCCCACTTTTAGACCACCCTTCCCATCCCTCCCAGTTCGCGTGTCCTGAGCTTTCTATTGTCACGGTACTTTGTCCTCATTGGGATCCCCAGTCCGGTGACCTGCCTTTATTCCCCGTCCATTAGCTTATCTAGCCTGGATTCTATGTTCCAGCAATGCCAGCACTCAACTCCCCCGCCCTTCTCTCTCTCAGTTGTACTCACCTACAAAACCCCACCCCAGCTGAGCCCATCTGTCTACCTTCCACATGCCAGCACTGAGCAGCTGAAATGTTGCTGGAGAACATCACTGCTTCTACTGCCAGTTTACAACCACACCATTGCTGGGTATTCCTGCTTTGCTTCCCCAAGAAGCATGTGTTCCCACTTTCCGAAAGATCTGTTTTGAACATTCTTTCCTCAAGCCCCCCATCTCGTTCTCCCCTGTGCTCAGCCATCGGCCTCCCTGACAGGTCAATGAGAAAACAGGTAATAAGATGTGAACTCCCTTGACCTTCCTGTCTCCCACCTTTCAAAGCTGCTGTGGCCCTTTCACCTTCTTTCTTTCTCTTATAACAGGAAGTGTCCCTCCTTGTTTCAAAGTCCACTCCCTCTGTTTCTTTGCACAGCCACTGAAGGACTTCACTTCCTCCATTACACCCCGTATCTCCTACATCATCCAATTATACGCTCTATCTCCTACATCGTCTGTCTTGCTCCCTTTGTTGGATGATTCCCATCCACGTGCAAAAATATGCCATCATGTCTTCCATTTAGACACACAAACCAACCCGCCCTTTCCCCTACATCCTACTGCCCCATTTCTCTGCTCTCCTTTGTCGCGCAGCTTATTTTAAAATGTGGTCCACATGTGCTCTCCCCACTTCCTCGTCACCCTTGAACCCATCCGCCTCCTGCAGCCTGGTGTCTGGCCCCATCACCCCACTGCAGCCGCTCACCAGGGACCTCCTTGGTTCCAAACCTAGGGGACACACTTCTGTTCTTTTCTAATTCAACCTCTCAGTGACATTCAGATGAAAAGACCCCTCTCTTCTTCTTGGAAGGCCCTCCCTCATGGCCTCTGTGACTCCAGCCCTGGCCCTGTCAGTCTCCACTGAGCCCCCATCCCACCTGTTCCTCCCAGCCTGGCCTCTCCTGGGCCTGTGACCTCCACCACCCTTGCCTTCCCCAGGTGTCCCCCCCCACCCCCCCCACACTCTCTGGGACCTTCCAATTCTGCCTCTTGATGTCTGGTATTCCCATTTTCCCATGTCTGTACACATGGTCCTGTCTCCATATCCTAAACAATTCTGCCCCCAACCCTGCTGCCCATTCTTTGACTCCTCCTCCTCCTCAAGAGCCGTCTGTACTGGCTGCTTTGCTTTCTGACCGCTGATTGGCTGGCTTCCCCCGTCTTGAAGCAGGGCTGGCTTCATGGGTGTGGGACCTGTGCGGGGACACGGGTCTCCATGCTTAGAAGGGCCTCATGCGTGGTTTAATGCTCTGCTGTCGCCACCTGGACGTTCTTCATTATTTTTGAACAAGGGGCCCCCTGTTTTCATTTTGCACTGGGCCTCCCAAATTATGTAGTTGGTCCTGTCTCGAAGCCACCATATCTTATGTCCAACTTATTTTGACAACCTTCTAACTAGCCTCCCTGTTTCCACCCTCCCCTCTCCCTTCCCTTCACAGGAGCCAGAGGGATCCTTTAAAAACACATCAAATTACGTCATCCCTCTGTGCATTGCCTTCTAATGGCTCTGCATCTTACTCAGAGTAAAAGCCGTAGTCCTTAAAATTGCCTGCAAGGCCCCATGTGAGGGGGCCACCAACTACTTCTCCCCTTTGTCACTGTGCCCCAGAACACACCTGGAGGCATTTGTACTTGCTGTTCCCTCTGCCTGGCATGCCTTTCCCCCAGATATCTACTTGGCTTATTCCCTCACCTCCCTCAGGTCTTTATTTAAATATCACCTCCTCCAGGAAGCCTTCCCTGATCACCCTGTACAGAACAGCAATACCAAGCCCTTCTTGGCACTCATTACCTTCTTACATTATATGGATGTGCTTATTTGTTGATTGTATGCCCCCCATACTAGAATGTAACCCTCACGGGGGGGGGGCAGGGACTTTGTCTTGTTCACCACTGTGACCCCAGTACCTGTCATGGAGTAGCCACTCAATAATAATGAGTGGTGAAAGGGGGAGCTAGGGCAGGCAGGGAGGGGCAGCTCAGGAGACTGGGGCACAAGGAGGGAGTAGGAGAGGGCGGGATGGGGAGGTTCTGGAGCAGTTCTGTGGGGAATACAGTCAGAGGGAAAAGATTCCTTGAACCACAAGGTTGGGCCAGAGGGACACCAGGGACTCTCCCCCAGGGACCGAGGCGGGTGAGGATGGAGGGGGCCTTGGGAGGGAGGGAGCGAGACTGGAAAGTGGGAGCGGGCCGGCTGGGGAAGAGTGCCACGCTGATGCAGAGCGGTATTCCCCTCACGCCAGGCCCCTTGGGTGGTGGAAGGCAGCCGCCCTCCCGCGGGCTGGCCCTCGCAGGGCGACGTGGAGTTCCGGAATTACTCTGTGCGCTACCGGCCGGGCCTGGAGCTGGTGCTGAAAGACCTGAGTCTGCGCGTGCGCGGTGGCGAGAAGGTGCGCGTGGGGTGGGTTTGCGCCGGGGAAAGCTGTACTTGCGGAGAGCCTGGATCTGTGGGAGAGCAGGTGCTTCAGCCCACACGTCTGCTCGGCCGCCCTAGGGGAGTCCTGGAGATGCCCCCACTGATCCCTCAGACTACCCCTGACAGCCCTTCCGTACCTCCTCCAGGTGGGGATCGTGGGCCGCACTGGGGCTGGCAAATCGTCCATGACCCTCGGCCTCTTCCGCGTCCTGGAGGCCGCAGAGGGTGAAATCTGCATTGACGGCCTCAACGTGAGAGACATCGGACTCCATGACCTGCGTTCTCGGCTGACCATCATCCCCCAGGTACCAGCCTGACGACCACACTGACCAGTGACTCTGGGGAGCAGGCTGCACCTCTGTTCTGTGGCTTGAGGTCCAAAACTGGGACCTCTATCTGGGAGGCTGGAGAGCCGACCAACAGGAGCAGAGCCCCAGAGTCGCCGCCTGTCATGGATCTGGAAGGGTCAGACGCACCCTGGCCCAATCGGACCCTGCCCTCCTACCTCCTGGGCCAGCAAATGGGACCAGGACCACAGGACGGCTCAAATACCCCATCCCCTGAAACATGCTCTCCTGGTCTCCTTGTTTCACAGCTCAGAATTACATTTCACTTTTTCTGGCTCCTCTGGGGCATTTTTTCTGCTGACTGGACACTTTGGAGTCAGGTTAGCGGCTCAAGTCTCTGCTTTAGCGGAGGGCTTTGTGCGGCAAGGCTGAGGTTATCACTTACCCGCAGGCGTTTTTGTATCTCCTTGGCCATTGCCTCCCTCCTGGAGGGCTGGGGACAGAGTGGGAATGCTGCCACCTCAATCCCTCTCTTTATCCCTGGCCCTGGCCCTGGGGCCCATGGCTCCTTATGGGGCCTGAGCTGCCCCGCTCTGAGGCATTGTTGTGTCCCCAGGACCCCATCCTGTTCTCGGGGACCCTGCGTATGAACCTGGACCCCTCCAGCAGTTACTCGGAGGAAGACATATGGCGAGCCTTGGAGCTGTCCCACCTGCATTCGTTTGTGAGCTCCCAGCCGGCAGGCCTGGACTTCGAGTGCTCCGAGGGCGGGGAGAATCTCAGGTAACAGCTGGGAGTGGGTCAGAAACAGCACAAACATGTGGATGAGGAGAACAGATTGGTGGTTACCAGAGGGGAAGGGGATCGGGGGAGGGCAAAAGGGGTAAAGGAGCACATATGTATGGTGACTGATAAAAACTAGACTATTGGGGGTGAGCACAATGCAGTCTATACAGAAACTGACATACAATAATGTACACCTGAAATTTACACAAGGTTATAAAGCAATATGACTTCAATAAAATGATTTTAAAAAAAGAAAGAGGGAAATAAAGAAACAGCACTCTGTGGAGCCAGAGGATCTAACATCAAATGACACAGAGTCCACCCCAGCCCCCTCCTGCCCTCTCCTCTCCAGCCCCCTCCTGCCCTCTCCTCTCCAGCCCCCTCCTGCCCTCTCCTCTCCATTGCCCTCCTGCCCTCTCCTTTCCAGCCCCCTCCTGCCCTCCCCTCTCCATTGCCCTCCCGC